GTGAACAAGTATTTCCCTTCATTCGTTTTGAATTTGCTGCCTTTCAGTTTTATTTAATGTCCCCTTAGTTCTGGACTGGTCCTTATCACTTTTGTTTTCGTGACGTTTTCACTTTTTAGTACTCCTGCATTGGCATAGCACTGCAATGTCTGGGTTGCAATTGCTGCAGAGGCATATTTTAAATCTGAACCCCTCAAAAATTTGCTTAAAAAAATATGGAAACATTTCTAATGGTCATAGGATTTATAGTTGCCTGTTTCTATAAAACCTGAAGGCTGTGCCTACATAGACATTTAGAATTATTACTCCACTTTCTTAGCCAAAAGACCAATAAAAATGTACTGATGCTCAAATAACAGATTAATTCCAGCTGTTACTATTAGTTTTCTGTAAGTGAGATACACAAATGTACCCCATTTTCAAAAACGTAACATTCTAAAATTACATTTAAAGAAGGAAAAAAACAGAATATGGGTTTGTATCACTATTAATGCTTTTATGATGGTAGTCATTGAAGACCCCATCTGAGATCAAAGCCCCATTGTACCAGGCACTGTACAAAGGCATAATAAGACACAGATGCTTCAGAAGAACGGCCATACTAGGTCAGACCAAAGGTCCATCTAGCCCAATATCCTATCTTCCGACAGTGGCCAATGTCAGGTGCTTGAGAGTGAATGAACATAACAGGTAATTTTTGAGTCATCCATCCCCTGTTGCCATTCACAGCTTCTGGCATACAGAGGCTAAGGGCACCATCCCTGTCTAAAGATCTTGCAGCCTAAATGGAAGGAGAAAGAAAGTGTTTTCATCATGCCCATTTTACAGCTCTGGAACTGAGGCACAGATGGATTAAGTGACTTACTTCAGGGTCACATAGGAAGGCTGTGGGAGAGCGGGGAATGGAACCCAGCTCTTCCAGGGCTCCATGATGTAACCACTAGACCAGCCTTCCACTTCGTGCTGTATTTATTGGACCCAAATTTGTTTGAGAGTTTGTCCCGGCTTTTATTTTGTTAAAACAGAGATTCTAGGTGGATTTTGTTAAACAGGTTTCACTGAAATCTCAAACTGATTCTAACATTCCCACTTTCAGTTGGTGTACAGGGAACTTTTCTGGTGAATTGCAGAGTCTATAACAGGCTGGCAATTTGCCTGAAAAATCCCTTTCCTGCTATCAGGTGTTTGATCCTGCCAGGAAAGGGTGAAGTGGGTTCTGCTGACTCACTGAGGCAGGTGGCTTGTCACCTGGATATAAGAACGTAAGAATGGCCATACTGGGTCAGATCAAAGGTCCATCTAGCCCAGTATCCTGTCTTCCGACAGTGGCCAATGCCAGGTGCCCCTGAGGGAATGAACAGAACAGGTAATCATCAAGTGATCCATCCCCTGTCACCCATTCCCAGCTTCTGGCAAACAGAGGCTAGGGACACCATCCCTGTCCATCCTGGCTAATAGCCATTGATGGACCTATCCTCCATGAATTTATCTAGTTCTTTTTTGAACCCTGTTATAGTCTTGGCCTTCACAACATCCTCTGGCAAAAAGTTCCACAGGTTGACTCTGCGTTGTGTGAAGAAATACTTCCTTTTGTTTGTTTTAAACCTGCTGCCTATTAATTTCATTTGGTGACCCCTAGTTCTTGTGTTATGAGAAGGAATAAATAACTCTTCCTTATTTACTTTCTCCATACCAGTCACGATTTTGTAGTCTCAATCATATCCCCCCTTAGTCATCTCTTTTCCAAGCTGAAAAGTCCCAGTCTTATTAATCTCTCCTCATATGGAAGCCATTCCATACCCCTAATCATTTTTCTTGCCCATTTCTGAATCTTCTCCAATTCCAATATATCTTTTTTGAGATGGGGTGACCACATCTGCACGCAGTATTCAAGATGTGGGCGTACCATGGATTTATATGATATTTTCTGTCTTATTATCTATCCCTTTCCTAATGATTTCCAGCATTCTGTTCGCTTTTTTGACTGCTGGTAATCACTCTCCAGAAAAAGAGGATCTAGGGTGTGGGTTGAGCACTCCTCAGGGAGGAATCCTAGGAACAGCCAAGCCTGGGGAGGACTGATCAGAACTTTGTTGTATTATTGTTAACCAAGCCCAGGAAAGGTGTGAGTTTTGGCTTTACACAGAGTGTGGGCTGTATTTCAGAGCAGGTTGGGAATGGCACATATTCGCTATATTCCATTGCTTCTTGGAAGGGCAGCTAGGTACTGGTAATGGGATTCTATAAAGTGCTGACCTCATTTGACTAGATCTTTAGCCTTCTTGAAGGGTGGCTGTTTAATGTTCATTGATTTATGGGGCTACTTTAAAGAGGAGATTTACTGTACCTCTCAGTTTTTGCTGGACTGGGATCTCTGCAGATTCGAACCTTCAGTTGAAATAAATGCAAATGGGGTGCAATACACCCTTGTGCACAGGGCCAGCTCCTGTGCACCACATAATCCCACTAGATCCTTCAGCATGGATGGTCCTATGCTGGCCCTCTGCGGACCATAGGTTCCCAGTCGGAGCTCACAAATGGGTGTCTGGGCATGGCCCCCCTGCCCTTCCAGCACTGCTAACTGGGAGGGTGAGATGCTTTGGGGTTCAACTCAGACCAATAAGGGGCTGTGTCACTTCTCACCCTGCAACTCTGGGTGCCTTGAATGCTATGCTGCTGCTGTTCACAGCCCTCACCCTACCAGCCAGCCTACCAGCATGCAGGTCTAACTCTGGCTTCCACCACCCAGTTCCTGTTTGAAGAGTGACCCCAACACCCTCCCAATCCCGAGTTTTCCCAACACCATGATCTGCCCTGTGACACTCTACTGGGTGTCCCAGAATTGAGACTTACCCCCGCTCAGCAAGTCAGAGTTTTGCTGTGTGACAACTCCCTGATACACCGGTTTGTCTGCTGCCTTGCCAGCAAACTCTTCAGGACTCTGCCAGCCTTGCCTTGTAAGTAACAAACAATGAACCCCAATTCCTGAGTTCCCCAGAGACATCTCCCTATGGTGTCCAGCCCTCTTCTGGAACACTCCCAGAAGCTATTCAGTTTGTTACTCCTTTAAAGAGACAATATGCTACAGCTCGTCAATTTAACTGGGGTTTGACAAAGACTCTTATTTAATCACAGGCCTGAACTGGTTTATAGTAAAAGTCATGGGTTTAACTGATCGCAGGTATAAGGAGTAAAGACAGAAATGGTTACAAACCAACACAAGTAAAAACTATACTTCTAAGGCTAAAACTTAATTTCAGCAAGTCACAATCTTTGCCTAAGCAGGTTTCTCACCTGTGTTCAGTTCCCAGAGACTTCAGCCCCCTTGGCTGAAGGATCCAATGTTCTGTGATTCCAAGAACTCTGGCCCCTTTAATCCCACAAGTGATGGGTACCAAAGTGCCTTTCTGTCACTGCTTATATCTCCCAAAGTTCATTGACCCTGTTACAAGAGGCAGAAAAGCTTCCTGACGTCCTTCCTTTCCTGTGGACTTCCCATCTCTCTGCTGATTCGTATGTAAATACAGCCTCCATTGTTTTGATTCCACAGTGCTTAATTTACTTTGCAGACAGTTAGATTGCTGCCTTCCCAGGGAGAAAAACTCTGGTTAAAGCATGATATCAGTGAGTATCCATAATTCCTCGTGTAGTGGTAAAACAGACATTTCACAATGACGTTAATCACCAGAGTGTCAAAGGCTTTCATAAAAGACCTCATTCTATACACTTTTATAGTACAATAATAGTGTGTACAATCATTTGAGATTCAGACCACCTGTCTTCATAGCGCAATAATTCTTTGACACGTATTCATTGAAAAGTGAGCCTAGACCAAGCTTCTCTTCCCTGCTGGAATGGAGACGCTGAGCTGCCTTCCCAAAGTTGATTGACCCTGCTTCAAGAGGCAGGAGGTCTCCCTGGCGTGTGCTTGCCATCCCCCGTTGAGATTGCTAAGTTTTCATCTTTCCCCACCTGCTGTCTTGAAGGCTTTGTTTACCTTGCATATAAACTTGCTTTTCTTTGTCTTTGGTCACACCTTGCCTAACTTACAGCGGAGACGCATTCAAGAAGGTGGAACCCCATTCCTTTGTGTAGGATGAGGTACCTTGTGGGGTACTTCTAAGAACATATTTTCAGCATATGTTTGTAGTTTTGCATACGTTACCCGTTTGTACACCACACAATAATATTAATGAGCAGTGAGTTATGAGTCTTCCAGTGATATATTACATGCCACCTTTTGCATATATAGCCTGACAACAGTGTTAGGTGTAGTGAGTATGTCTGGCCTGAAGAGTTGCTGACTCAGAGTAGTGGACCACCAGTGGCACTTGGTGTCACAGACAGGGATTCCAGTTAGATGGGTTGAGGTTGTGGAAGGGTCCTGGCATGGAAAAGGTGGAGAACCACTGCCACAGGGCATTTATTTGTGTATGTTCACTCCGTCCTTTTTAAATTAAGGAAGTTCAGTGCAAAAATCTTGTGCTGCTGGAGCACTGTGGCCAGGGATTTTAAAATCCAAATCAGGCAGAGCTGATTTTCTGTGCAGAGCTGTGAATAAACATCTTGTCATCCATTACAGCCATCTTGAGAGAGGGAGTGTGATCCCTCTTCCCACGTCGCACCCTGGCAGCCGGAGTGAGTCCCATCCTAGACACACATTGTCTTAAATATGCTGAGGATGAGTTGGCACCCAGGAGATTAGCCCTAGGACATACCGAGGGAGTCACAGGGTTGCGAAGGGATTAGGGAGAAAGAAACTGATCCTTGAGGGGTGTGAGAGTTTGCAATGATGCTTGGGGGCATCAGGGTGCAGAAACCCCCACCCCAGGTACGTTGCTTGATAACGTGCTGCAATGCACTCTCCACCTACCCAGCAGAGTTTGCTCACCCAGCTGGTTTTCCACGTGTTGCGGTTGCCTCGTTTGTCCTACTTTAGTTGAATTAAAACAAGGAGCATGCATTTGGCTCAGTCTTTCATTCTGCTTTTCTTTCTGCAGGCAGCTCGTTGCCCAGCGACCCGGGAGCACCAGCCCAAAGGCAGATAAATGGCTTCACTGGAAACTCCCATCCTCAGCCAGGAGGCTCCAGCCGCACAAAGGATTTGGACTCCTCTCCAGCAAACCATCGAGGGGAGAGAGAATCCAGAGCAGCGGCCCTGGGTGTCTTGGGAAGCAGCTCCCCAACCGCTTCTCAGAAAAACTCAACTGCCCCAGAGGGTTTGCAGCTCCGGGAGCTCCCAGCAGCTCCAAGGAATGTGCAAGTAATGACTGCAGAGCAGCCTAGTTCCAGTCAGGACGCATATGGTCCAATCTACGAAAGCATCAGGGATAAAGGAATCACTTGCTGCCGAGGGAGTTTGTACGAACTACGTGCTGGCACCGCAGAGGGCCCCAATATGAACTCAGGCCATGTTACTGCAGGGGGTGAGGAGAGTGAGCCGGGGGAAACACTGCCACGACGCACTAGCAAACAGGAGCAGCTTGTGGGTGATGGTTCCAGTGGGGACCCCAGGGAGTCACCTCAGGAGTGGCAGGAACTTGCCTTGGAGGAAGATGCCGTGAACGAGTCCTTGACTGAAAGGGAGAAGAAGCTAAGGGCGATGTATGCGCGAGTGTGTAAGAAATCCAGGTCCCCCGGGCACACACCACCTGCAAACCCAGACGCGTCCACAGAGCCGGAAGAGGAGGAGCCTCCACCCCTACCAGAAAAGCACCTGGATGAGATCTATGAGACCCTGGGGTCTGAGACGCAGGTAATGCAAGGTGCCCTCTGCCTGGCCTGATGTTCAACGGGCCCTGAGTTCCCTGAACATCTCCTGCCCTCTCGCCTGCAAGGTTCTGTTTGATCTAGGCTGGGACTTCTCCCTGCTCCCCCTTCTACAGACCTTTCCAAGGGGAGGCTTCTGGCTGTCTCCTTTCCTTCTCTATCAGCTAGGAGCTGCCAAAGGAATATTTGAGCTACTACTCTGCTGTGATCTTATCAGCTCTCCTAAGCTCCCCAGGGCTGGGCCTGGCCAGTACTTGGTTGGAGATCCCTGCCAGATGCTGAAGGGAGTGTTGTTTGGCACTCGGTATGTACAACTCCTCCCCAAGTCTGTGCTAATTGGATGCCCTACCATGGTGCTGGGGGCACTCTGGGGCTGGAGGTGCTGTCTGATGGATGGGATGTGAGCGGGATCCTGGCCGTTGTGTAGTTAAAGATCCCATGGCGTGGGAGTTTCAGCATGGATGGGGTATGAACCCCAGTCTCCTGGCTGAATTCCGTCTTGCGGAATTGCCTCCTGACCTGTTAATTGGCTTTGAAGTCTCCCCTCTCCCTCCAGTCAGACACTCCTTCCCCTCTTGGGGCCGGATCCAAAGCCCAGTGAACTTAATAGAAAGCTCCTCACTGACCCCAATGGGCTTTGGTTCAGGCTGTTGCTGCACTGAGCTTAAACGTCCCCCCGTGATTGAGCCTTAAAGCCTCCTTTCTTTCCAAGTCAGCACCACTATTATCAAGGCCCCCGTTTGGTTTGGGTATTTTTTTCTTCTTGTAACTATGTAGCCCCGCCTGTGGCTCTCCTCTCTCCCTCTCTGAGGCACGGCCGAAGCCAATCTCCACCCACGCCCCGCAGACCTGGGGTTATCTCGCCGCTGCCCTGTACATTCTTTGCACCAGAAATGCTGATCTGGGAAAGTGGCCGTAGAGGAAACATGCTGCTAGATGAGTGAAGCCCACGTGGTTTAGGGGCTGTCCATCAATTGCATAACATGTTTTGTGGTGATTTTTCAAGACTCGCCCACCCCTTTGTAACACGGAAACAAGCACTCATGCAACATTAAGGACCCAGCTACCTCCCAATGTGTTATGTAATTTACGGACAGCCCCTTGATGCTTCCCTGCGCTTCTGGTTCATGTCCCCCCCCCCCCGTTCTGCATCTTGATCCCATCTTCTTGGGAGGTTTAGAGCTATTTGGGAGGAGGAAAGGGAGACCAGGATGAGAGGAGATGGGAAGTGGGGGGGAGCAGGAGCTGGAGAGAGACATTGGAGGTGGAGGGGATAGGGAAGGCTGAACAATTGGGGAGAGGGGCAATGGCACACTGAGAGGGGTAGGAGGGACAGCGGCATGTGGGAGGAGCTGACCTCACTATTACTGAGTTGGGAGCTAGCTCTAACTTCGCAGCAGCGGCTGGTGGGTGAGCTCGGGACCTCTCCAGTAGAATCCTGCAGATCATCCCAGCTCTGAAGCTAGGAAATTACATGTGGCGGGAGAAGCGGGGAATCCAGAGAACCCACTTCAAATAAAACATGGCAGAAATCCTATCTGAAGTCACTGGGGCAGATTGGGTGCTGGTGTGAACAGGCGAGGCTGCATGGACATCAGCCCTGAGTTGGTGCTCGGAAATCCCCAGGGGGGTTCACATCTTTCCCCTGAGGTGTGGGAGAAAATTTGGGTTCTTTTTTTCTCTTGATCAAGCTGAGACAGGCCTTTGATTCACAAGCAGTTCTGACTGTGATCCATGCAACTTGCTGGCACGTACAGTAAGCATCACACCGACAAAAGCTCAATCACAAGATATGGGCTTGATGTAGGACTCAGTGAGGTTCTCCAGCCTGTGTTATACAGGAGACTAGATAATCCCAATTGTCCCTTCTGGCCTTAAAACCTATTACTCTACCTCCCAAAGCTCTCGCCTGGCCTGAGCAGGTGTCATCCCTTGCCATCATCCCCCTTCGATAGATGGGAAAACAGAGACAGAGAAGGGCAACATTAACATGCTGAGCTTTGTACAGGAAATCAGCAACACAGCAGGGAATAGTATCCCGGTCTCCCCTTGGCTTGGCCGGTCCACAAAGCCATCCGTCATGATCAGGCCTAAAGCTTCTTCCAAAAGAGGGAAAACACAAAACCTTCTCTTGGAACGAAACAGATGAGCTGGGTTTAGTGGGCACTATATAGGGAGGCAAACTATTAACAGTATTATTATCCTAGAAAAGTCTGGACCAGATTCCCAGATCTGGCCGCTGCCAAACTCTGGGGAAGTTTGGACCTGGAGCCACTTTGGATCCATCTCTAATTATTGCTCATGCTAACAGGCTTCTGCTTTCCTCTCTGTCGTCCCCCAGGACAGTGAGGTGCCAACCGTCATAGCCCAGCCAGAAGAATGAGGAGCCCCAACTTCCGGGGAAGGCTACATCGAGTGCAGCGAGAACTCCAACCCTGACTGGCCCTACCGGGAGAGGCAGACGTTTCCTGACCTTTCGTGCAGGGATGCCATGAAGCCACGCCTGACACTAAAGCATCCCCAGCTCCTGCCCCTACCCTGTTAACGGTATTACCCGGATACACCAAGGACTTCCTTAGAGATCTCAGTTAGGAATGTCCCGCTGACACTGATGTCGCATTGTCGACAGCTCTATCAAAGGTGATGGAACAGCATGTCTTACCCAGAGCAGCTGTTGAAGAAACTGATACCAATCATGTTTGAGCATGGAGTGTGACATGACAGGCTCTGAGAGTTACAGGGAGACTAAGGGAGTGATAGATCTCCACTAGTATCCTCCTGAGACCTACACACTGGGAAGGGATGTCTGCACTTTTGGAGACACTGTTGTACAGAAACTGCCAGATCCCTCCCTCTTACCCAACTGTTACTCCAGGGTTTGAAAGCCAGCGCTGTACAACAGCGTGGTACAATAGCTGTGCACTCAGCTGTGATGAAGTCTTGGCTATTAACTGAATGCCCTTGAGGAGGCATTCCCTGGCTGGGTGCAGCAAGGTTTCAGAAATGAAGAGCGTGTCTGGGAAGTCCCAAGGGGAAAGCAGAACGAGCAGGGTGATTTCAGTACATTATGCAGGCAGGACAAATCAGTCTAGGTCACCATGTCCCACAGGGCTTTTGGAGGTGGCTTTTGGAAACTCGGGTCTAATTCTGTAGGAGCCCAGTGGTTTATCAGACCAAATAGTAACTTACCAAATTTCTCTTTCTTCAGCACTTGGTCTGGGAATTAATAGCCCTGCTGTGATCTGAACTTTAGGGCCTTCTGATAGTAATCTGTAGCCTTATCTCAGTTTCCCCCTGAATCTGCTCTCTGATACTGGCATAAATCCACTGACTTCAGTAGTGTTACTGCTGAATTACACGTGCAGAGGAGAATTGGGCCCAGTACTCTACTTGAGCTAAAATCTACTGTCAGCATGTCCCAGCCTGGCTTACCCATTTTGAGTACGTCATGACTATAGAAACTGATGCATTGTGACTGTTAGTTAGTATGATCCCAGTAACTTTGTCAAAGTGCCGATGGGGACATTGTTCAGAACTGCATCCGATAGTGTTTGGTGCAAGGGGAAGGGCCATCCCTTCTCCGTTATCAACCCGGTTATTCAGAGTTAAGACAAACAAATATCTGAGCCAAGCCTCCGAAAAGCATTTTGCGGGAAATGGCTGGGGGATGTGCCAGGGAATTCTGCCCTCCCTCCGCTAGCTGTCCTGAAAATAAACCCAAAAAAGGTGAGTGTGTTCATATTATAAGGAGGCATCAAGATCAAGACCCATCTGAAGTCTGTCTCCCACCCACAAGAACTGGCAAATAATGTTTTACAGGGACTCTTAAAGCTTGGCTACCTAGCAAAGAGCTCACACAACCATCTCTTAAGCAAAAATTTCCATCATTCTGCTCTGCCCGGGGCTATGAAAATCAACAGGGTAAGAAACCATTCTCACTGTGAAATGTGTATATTTTTTCATTTGTATTAAGGTTCTGTTTGTAAGTAGTTTTTAAATGGTTTATCAGTGATTAATAAATGGTTCAGAGATTGTTACAGAATCCAGCACAGTGAGAGGTTGCTTATAACCAATGGCTTATAACTATCTATAACACCTACTGTTACCTTGGAACTGTCTATAACATATTCATCCCCTCATTCATTAACCTGTGATATGAACCTGCCTTATTATAAATGGAACCTTAACAAAGGGCAACTCTCCAGTTGAAGAGGGTGGTACCTCAATCACACTTTATCCAACCCCCCTTTTTGCTCTGGTGGTTTGGACCAAATAGACCCTGCGGATGAGCTAGCCCTGGTTTTGCAAAATGAAAACTCCATCCAGTCCTGTCCTGTCCTGTGCTCATCATGCTGGTGTGTGCGTGTGCCTCGTTTTCATATGTTCAACCCTAATGGCCAGCAACAGCCAAAACGTCTCCTGTGTCTGCGGTAGCTGGTGCCAGACCAGAGCTGTAAAAGCCAGTGGAAGTTCATGCTCTTCAGTTAAGCAAAACGGTTCCCTTTCCCTTTAAATGGCTGATTGTGCACTAAGTGATCAAAGGACGGATAAAAGCCCACGTGGGATACTTTTCTCACTGGGGATTGAGGGTTGAGACCCATTCTCTATTCTTTCACATTCTTATACTGTGCCCATCGCTGTGGTATCTGAGCACAGGACGTAACCGGAACAGTAGGCAACTGGGAATAAATAGGGATGAATATTATTATTTATTGTTTGTATTGAAGCAGTATTCAGGCCCCATTGTGCCAGACGCTGCACAAACGTCTAGGAAACCTTTGTCCCGGCAATGAAGATCTTACAGTCTAATTACATCTAACAAAGGCAGATCTAATTCATGCAAAGGCCTGTGGAAATAATAGCCACAGCGGCTGAACCAAAGTGTGGGACAAATTCAGCTGGGTGCAGAGCTTAATACTGAGTGCCAGAGCTGCGGGCTGCTAGGAGATCTAGCCCTGTCCTCTTCTGCCCCTTCCAAGGCCCTTCTAGGGCCTACCTGCCCCTACACATCCGTGAAGGTACATGGGTGCCTAGACCCCAGCCTTAGGCCTGGTCTACACTACGGGTTTAGGTCGACTTTAGCAGCGTTAAACCGAATTAAGCCTGGACACGTCCACACAACGAAGCCCTTTCTTTCGACTTAAAGGGTCCTTTAAACCGGTTTCTTTACACCACCTCTGACGAGGGGATTAGCGATAAAACCGGTCTTTGCGGGTCGGAATTGGGGTAGTGTGGACTTAAGTCCCAGTTTTAGGTTCTGCTCGATCTACAGAACTCCCACTAAACCCTGCAGGCATCTACATTTCCAGTGTGAAAGTTCTACCGGCGCCTTTGTGGTTTCAAGCATGCCCACTGCTGCCTTGTGCTTGGTGGCCAGATGCCTATCTCCCGCTTAAGCCCCAGAGCGCTCTGCGATCCAGGGGAAGATAAGCGTTTGCCTATGTAATGTGTGTGTATGGGGGCCCCCTCCAGTAGGTGTGCTTAGAGGCTGCCTGAGAGAACGGCTCCCATTCAAAATCAGGGGAGAGGAGGAGGTGATGCCCTCCACCTTATAACTTTTATCCCAGGGGATAGATCATTCACTTGGGAGGTGGGAGACCCAGGTTCAATTCCCCCCTCAGCAGAGATGGAGGCAAGTGGGAGACCCCTGTTCAAATCCTCCCAGATGGGGGGTGTCCTAACCCCTGAGCAATGGCATGTTCTGATATAGGGCTCCTTCAGTCATAGGCGCTGACTCCGTGGGTGCTCCGGGCCTGGAGCACCCATGGGGAAACAATGGTGCGTGCTGAGCACCCACCGGCAGCCCCCCATCAGAGCTTCCCCCTTCCCCCAGCGCTTCCTATCCGTCGGTGGGCCACGCTGATCAGCACCTCCCCCTCCCTCCCCACACCTCCCACCCACCGCAATCAGCTGTTTCATGGCGTGCAGGAAGCACTGGGGGAGAGGGGGAGGAGCTAGAACATGGCATGCTCAGGGGAGGGGTGGAACAGGGTGGGGAGGGGTAGGACGAGGCGGGTGGGGCCTTGGGGGAAGGGGTACAATGGGAGCAGGGGAGGGGGTTAAGCACCCTCTGGCACATTGGAAAGTTGGCACCTGTGCCTTCAGTCTCTCCTGCTGAAGCTGTTCCTCTGTGTATACCTAATTAAAGAGGCAGTAGGCCAGAGAGAACGAGCAAAAGTGAGAAAGTCTCTATAGGCCTGTGGTTGGAGCAATCATCTGCGTGGGGGGAGACCCAGGGTCCAGCTCCCTTGCTCTCATTAACGTCAAACGTCAACTGTTGTGTCAGGAGTCGTAGGGAATTGCTATTGCTTAGGGGACACAGAGCCTTTCGTCTCCAGGTGATTCAAATCCAGCCAGCCTTGATGATGACTGAACGTTTTGCTGATGCTAGGTGTCCTGTGTGCAATGAGCCACTAGTCTCGGTCTGGTGCTGTTTGGTCCCCTTGCCTCAAGCCCTCTGACTTTGGGTGCCCGTGATCCAGCTGTGGTGCGGGGTTTGCTAGGGCTGCATGGAACGTGAGCCCCTCGGAGTGGGAGCAAAAGGTGAGACCAGACCTACCTTCCAAACCCGATGGGAGCAATAGCAGCAAACACTGGGGGTTCAGATCTGGTGACGAACTGCTGATTCTGTGGCCTGTGACGGGAAGGGGACAGGAAACTGGGACAGAAAAACAGGAAGAAGTGGCTGTAGTCCACGAAAGCTTATGCTCTAATAAATTTGTTAGTCTCTAAGGTGCCACAAGTACTCCTGTTCTTCTTTTTGCGGATACAGACTAACACGGCTGTTACTCTGAAACAGGAAGAAAAGAGAGAGTGGAAAGAGAGGAGAGCTCTCTTCTCGCCTCTCCCCCTCCATCTTTCCCCTTCTTCCATACTACAGTGCCCCCCGCCCTTCCCCCGGACCCATTGTCCAAACATCCCTATTTTTTGGCATCCTTTTGTAGCGTTCACTCTGTAGTTGGTGCTCTAACTGTGGCTCTGTCGGTTCAGCCCTTCTCCAGCGACTGATAGGCGACTATCTCCAGATGGCCCCGCAGCAAGTTCTCCGGAAGCTAGTCTGTAAACTCTTCGCGGGGAGGGAATCGCCTTTTGTCATCTTGATCGTCAGGCTCCTAGCACGCTCTGGGAGGCTGTGTAGTAATAATATTAACGTGCTGTAGTGGGGTGGCCACCGCTCCTGCCCTGAAGGGCTTGAAATCAGCCCTGGCAGAGGGCTGAGGCTGCGACAGGGCTGCTGCTAGGAAAAGGAGCAAGCCTCCACTGATTGGGGAACCAGCCACAGATGCGGCCATGCCCCAATCAGGGCAGTGGGCCAGGAGCACACAGAGACACTCTCTCTCTCGAGGTGGAGAGGAATGGGCCTGGCTGCTAGGAGCTAAGTGGGGTACCGAGATTGGAGCAGGGTTGGGGAAGGCCAGAGGAGCTGGGGAGTTCTGGCCTGGAAACCCCCCCAGGCTGCAGGCCTTGTTAAAGGCCAAAGAAAGGTACTGGGGTTACAGAGGGCAGCCAAGGGTCGGCAGAGGCAGCAGGTCCAAACCTCCTTTGCCAGTGATGAGTGGCACTTACACTGGAGTCTGCCCCAGGGAGCGGGGGCTAGGTGATAACTGGCAGTGGCCACAGACTGAGGCAAGGTGGGGATAGAGGGTGGGGGTTCCCTGGGGAGGGGAGACCCAGATCTGTGAGGAGGTACTGCCAGGGGGCAGCACCCCAGCCTGAAAGGGGCACCAGGGTCCAGGAGGGACTCGGGCCCAGCGGCAAGCGGGACACTGGCCTGGAGAGGGCGCTCCGGAGGTGGAAATGCTAATTCCCTGGACGACCAGCAGGAGGTGCTGCGCCGGTGAGTCCCGCCCCATGACACATGCATGTCAGGACAGAGAGCTCTGCCAGGGGTAAGCACACTCCATACATTCACCAGAGCATCCCCAGTAGATTAGTCTCAGAAACGGGATCTTGGATGACCTTGTGCTCCAAGGGACTGTGAGTGATCCTCAGTCTAGGAGTCCCCATGAATAGTCTTTGTGTCTCAGTCTATCCAGCAGGAACACTAGGTAAAGAAAAACCAGCAGAAGCCTCACACTCAGCCATGAGCTGTGCTGGGGGAATTGAATTCTGTGCAGGAGACATTGTAAAACGTCCCCTCAGATTTGCAGGCTGTGAGATGGTGGCCGTGGGGGAGCAGTTTTCACCCAATTGTAGTCCTCTTCCCCCGGCCCTTCTCCCACACTTGAACATCAATGAGAACATTGTTTGTGACCTAATTTTTTCCCCCTTGCTGAACTCTGGCTACTATCTCTGTAGTAAACTAACAAAGAGGGGCTATGTTAACGCAGCGAGGGTCCTGCCTAAACTGGAAACAAAGCAGGGGTATTCAGAGTTAAGGCCCTGACAGCCTAGATATCACCACTCTCGCTGGCTGTACGGCTGCTGCTTGGCCTGATAGAAAACCGGGTGACACAACGGGGCAGAGAGAAAGAGAGAGAGTGAGACACTTGGAGAAGAGGCCTTAGCTCGGTGTTCTTTATTTGTGTGTTTCAGAATGATCCCAGGGGTTACATTCCTTTCATGAGGTGGCTCTGTTTCATTATAATCTCATTATTCATAATATTTACTGGTTTTTCTATAGCACTTAGAGGCCCCAACCAAGAGCAGGGCTAGGTGCTGTACAAATGCAGAGTAAGAGACAGTCCTTACCCCAAACATTACAATCTAAGTCAACATGACAGACAAAGGGCGTGTTATGTCCATTTTACAGACTGGGAACTGAGGCACAGACATTAAATGGTTTGCCCAAGGCCATGCAGTGAGTCCATGGCAGAGCTGAGTCCCAGGCCAGTACATTGCCCATACAACCATCCTTTCTTCCTCCCTACCTCCAATCCCACATGATCTGTGCTACATGTCCATAGGGTTGCCAACTTTCTAATCACACAAAACCAAACATCCTAGCCCCGCCCCCTCCCTGTCGCCCATCTCCCTGCTCCGCCCCTCCCTGAGACCCTGCCGCCACCCACTACATTCCCCCTCTCTCGGTGGCTCACAC